TGATTGTATATGTATGTATATATGTATATGTGTATATGTATATGATGTATGTGTATGTATATAATATACATGTATGTGATTGTATATGTATGTGTATATGTGTATATGTTGTATATGTATGTGTATATGTATATATGTGTATGATATATATGTGTATGATGTATATGTGTCTATGTGTGTATATACACATAGACACATGTACACACACACACATATATACACATACTATCCATACATGTTCATACCAACAACCACTCATATACAAATAGTAACATACATTGATACACAGCAACACCCACATAGATGCAAACATTAACATCCATACACGAACACTCATCCCAATGCCCACACATGCTCGCACTACCGCCACACACATACTAATAACATAACACATGCATTATGCTGGTTAGATTTTATGATTGCCTTGGCACACCCTAGAGTCCCCTGGGAACAGAGAATGCCTGCGCCCACGGAGGCCAGGAAAGGGTGTCAGATCCTCTGGAATTAGAGCTACAGATGGTTCTAAGCTGCCATGTGGGTGCTGAGAATTGAACCCGGATCCTCTGAAGAACACATACTCTTAACTACTTGAGCCATTTTTTCAGCGCCAGGAATCGGCTTGATTTTATTGATTGCTGTAGGAGGGCTCAGTTTATTACAGATAGAACTACTCCTGATGAACTGGGACCTAGAAGCGTAAGATGAAATAAACCCTTCCCTTCCCCAGGTTGCTTTTGGTTAGAGTGTTTTATCAAAGCAACAGAAAAGCAAGGACACAGATACCTCATGGATTTGTTCACATCAGCACCCACACACAACACCAGCACCCATCTTTCCTACATTATGATTTATGCACACAGTAATATCCATCCACTTGCAAATGCCAGCATCCACATATATGCCAATAGCCACACGGTGCCTATAGTTTACCATCGACCTGCCTGTGCACACTAATACCCTCATGCATATTCATACGAACTCCTACATATTCCCATATGCCCGTGCATACACATACACTCACTATCTTTCCAGTTCACCCATATGTACGTCTAACTCATGAATTGTACACATATAAACACACACACTTAGGTGCCCATGGTCAAATATATCCTTCCTCCCACCCTACCCTCTCTCCTGCCTCTCTGAGCTAGGCTGACTTCTGGGGAGGTCCAGGCTTTATGCTGGGCCCCACACATGGCCTTCCCTCCCCCACATCCCTGAGGACCCGGCCCAATATAAAGAGTTACTAACTCAGAAGTCCCATGGGGCCTCTTCCAGAAAGGCCACACTGTGAGGACAATACAGGGTCACCTGGATGGGTCAATAGGCAACCCTGGCCCAAGCTGAGCTTTGAGCTCAAGTTGGCTTGATGCCCTAGCCTGAACTTTGTCCTGCTAGGCCTCCTAGGGTCCTCAGGATCTGCTCCTCTGACACTGATCATGAGCGGTTTGGAGATCTCATCCTGGAGAGCACCCCTTCATTCCCCAGCTCCCTTCGCACTGTCCCTGGTTAATAAGAAACTAGCTGTGGGAAGGTATAAAGGCCCCAGGGCCATCAGAGAGTTGTTACTCCGTGTCCCTCTACAGCCTCTCGAGAGGAGCCTCTGGACTCAAGTACTGACCATGTCCCAGTTGGTGGAATGTGTCCCCAACTTCTCAGAGGGGAACAACCAGGAGGTGAGGCTCCTGCAGGGCTTTTGTGGGTGCTCTGATCCCAGGAAGGGAGTGAGTTTGGTGTGGGAGAAGGTTGTCTTCCCAGAACAGGCAGAGTCACA